TGTGTTAGGCTAGGCTGTAGTTTCTAAGCGGGTGGCTTTTTTATTATTAGGAAACTAATATAGATGAACACATTTGCGGTTTTTGGGGCGTTGAACGGCTTGACGGTACTGACGTTATGACCGCCCAAATCCATAGAACTTAGTTGACGTGAACAAACTACCACGTTAACCACGGGCAGTAAGTAATTTTCCCAGCGCGCAGTGACCAGTACAACGCTGTGAAGCATTGCAGATATAAAATATATATCTTAGAACGCATATTCTAAATGTGAAATTTGCAGACAATTTAGAGGGTTTATAATTCTCGTAGATGAGTTTAAAGCAGTTTCGCAGCGGTCAAACGCTGACTGGAAAAATCGTAGTGTGGCCTAAACCTTATCACGTGATCGTTAAAGCTGAATTAAAGCGAACAACACAGTGATTATCGTGTATTCATTTACGATTAAAATGAAGCAAAGCTTGCATCTGAATGCATGATTTTGCTTATAAACAACAGCACGAATCATCAGTGTGAATAAAAGTTTTGTTCAGGTGCAGCTAAAGGAATGGTACTTAAAGTATTGGAGCCACTATTCTGCAATCAAAGAAATCAATATTTGTTTGAATTTAAATGTTTCTTTCTTTTCGATAGAAATAAACCTAATAATACCAACGGCTTAACGTGCCTTCCGAAGCACGGAGGAGCTCGAGGTAGTAAATTTTTGGTCACCCATCCAATGACCGACCACTGCGAAAGTTGCTTAACTTCAACGATCGCAGCCGAACGCGCTAACCCGTTGAGCCATGGAGCTTCTCAGTACAGTAAAGTACAGTACAGATTAGAAATTGGAAAGTTAATCTCACATCAACGGCATGTGATCCTACAAACTCAAAATGAAAAAAAAAACTTGAAAAATAACGACTCGCAATTTCAAAAACCCACATCTCGCAATTTAAAACCCTATTCTTGTTGATTGATTGACGTTTGTCCGTGCAAACAGCGTATGTCGGGCGACAATTTGTCACCACGCTTACAATGAAAAAGTTGCAAACGAATGTATTGCCTCAACCAAATTGCCACGGGGTAACACTTCACGGGATTCCACTACGAAGTGATTTATTAGCTTGTTGTTTTGTACGAATTAATGATATGTACGATCAATTTCAGCCGATGACACAATAAAGCGTCATTTGAATACGTACCGTATATATTTCGGTGATGTTTAGAATAGGCATGATAACGGGGTAAAGTAAACGAAATTCTATTTAGTCCGTCAGTTAAATGATCAAAAAATAATAGACACGTATTTTTTCTTTGGGCAATCAAGCAAAAATGGCAAAGATAAAGCGCGTCAAAATTTGGGAGTAGGGGCTCGTGACGTCACTTTTAAGTGAAAATTGTACCAAAACGTGACGTCATGCGACTTTTCAAATCAATATATCTCTGCAATGTTTATATTACGTGAAAAAAATACGTGTCCAATACTTTTTGATATTAGGTATAATAAACGAAGAAAAAAAAATTTGTCATCATCCCTATTCTTTTCAATAGACACTTAAAAAAACAACGTCCGTAAAACTATTATTTTTTTATGTTAAACGGGTGGCAAACAACATTAAGCAGCCACTATAGCCTACAGACGCTTGCGATACCAAATATATCAATCGCACTGGTGCCTACCCTAACCCAATCCCCTACCCCGTGGAACCCTGGAACCTTACCGACAGAAACACAACACCATCAAAAGGTAGTGTTATTTTACTGTGGTCTTGTGTAATGTGGAGATTACGTCCCCGGACTGGCGCTCCAATTGAAAAATCCACTATCTCTTATGAGCCCTTTTACAAAATTGCGCCGCTGCCGTACCTATCGGCGCGTAGGTAGATTTGCACTAGTATAATTATATTGCATTTTACGAGTGATGTTGAGCCCTATAAAATAATTATTAATGAACTAATTATCAAAATATATACATTTCAGTAGTTCAATGTGGTAGATTACTTTTATAAAAGTTTTTGATAGTAATTCTATTTAATTGAATATCAAAATACGAGGTAAACCTGCATTATTTTTTTGGGAAAACTCAAGGAGGTTAGATGTTTTTTTTGATAATTAATGAGATGGAAAATCAAAGTTCTAATACATTATATATTACAACAAAAACATATTTCTGATGTCGTAGTAATTAATTTGATCTAATTTATTGAATATATTGAGAGATTGAGGCGTTGGAAGTTGTGCATATTAACGTAATTTCCGTAAACAGCTGAACGATCAGTACAAAAGGAAAATAGTATTTGCAAATATTCTACATTGACTTGCAATAGGAAGAATAAATCTACTGTTTAATTCCATCGGAAATAGTCAATATATTTTCTAAGGGGGTAAACGAGGCGCTCAAAATTTGAAAACCGGCGGTCAGAAATAACAAAATGAAATCGTAAGCGATAGCGATTCCCATAGCAATTACTTTAGGCGATTGACCCCCAGGTATACGCAGCTTTGCCGTCGCGTCGATGTTCGCGGCGTTAGTTCAACATTTTCTTGCGAACAAATATAATACAAGCCTACCAGCACTGGCGTCGCCGTCGCTAGTATCGGTGGTCTCTAAGATCACATAATATATCTATAAATTAGATCAATGCTTTTTCATTGAAGAGTATATCTGGTACACATGCAAGTGCCTCAAGCACAATGCGAACTCTACGTATAGATTATGAATTTAGAACAAAACTTGACCATCGTTTGGTCTAACTGTAGTATTTTTTTTTATAATAAATTCCACACGGACCAGGTAGAAGAAATACCGGAAAAATTTTCAACACGGCTGTTAGGGCCGCGGTAGCATAATGGTCAGTGCATCCGTCCGGATAGCGGAGGGTATGGGTTCGAGTCCCATCTGCTTCCTGTCCGCATTGAATCTTTTCTAGTAAAATTTTCTTTTGATTTAAACATCTAACAGTTGATAAATAAATAGAAACAAAGTTATTTTTTATATCATAAAAATGTGTAGTAAGATCCTGGATTTTATTTCAAATACCATATCGTTGGTAATAAAAAGCGACGAGCGCGTAAATATCACAAGTTTTTTGCGCGGATATATGAGTAATCCATTTGTTTTCCGCCATACTCAGTCGCGCCCAACATTGAAAACGTGTACGCTGCCTAACTCGATTCCGGGGTACTGCTCACAGAATCTCCTTAATGCGGAACGCTCCAAATGGATACCATTGTTTTCTCCCACAAAAAGCATCAAATAAGAAACGAGACAGAATACAAAACGAAATATAGAGAGCACTCAGTTTCGAATGAGAGAAGCGTCAATGTACCCTTTACTAAACGTCGGAGGGGTTACATTAGCGAAGCGTAACCTCCTTACGCCAGGGTTACCAGGTGACAAAACAGAGTAGGACACGTCCCACTTTTTAAGTTATTGTCCCTCCCACAACTGTCTTATGACCTCAATTTGCTGTTGCGCTTGCATCTGTCTTCGTCTTCGTAAGAAAGCCAATTGCATTTGTTCCCGAAATACTCTAGGAAGAACGTATGGATATATACATTCGATGTTATCTTGTAGTAACCGATTGACTAATATTAAACGGTTAATGATAAAAAAATAACAATATTGGGGTAGAAAAAAGGTGGTGATATTTGATTAAGCGATCTTATGATAATAAAAAGGATGAACTTCTAGAAATCACTAAGTACGTGCGAAGGCGGATTACAAAGAAACCCTCTCGGAGAAGTTGTTAAAATGGATTTTTTTAAAAGTAAAAGTTTTATTTAGATTTATGAATCGAGCAGATTAATCAACTTATGGAGATTAATGCTTAAAAATATAGTACATAATATAAATAATGATATAAGTATATACCTTATGGGAAATGAATTTTCGAAATCGGTTCAGGTTTAGGAGATTATTTGTTACGCTAAACTATTGTTTCTTTATAATACCTATTTGTATATAGATAGGATAATTATATTTAACCCCTGGCACCTACATACTTGGTTCTGTGAATTACGTAAGTAAAACAAATTATGAGACAAGGATATGTACTGCATTTGCGTATATCACAATCTTAGAGTAGCATACAGCCACTGCCAATTTTAGATAGTCGACGAATAAAAGTAAATGAATTTTATATTTACTACTAAAAAAACATACATAAGCAAAAGATGACTTTTTGAATAAATACGGAAAATAAGTACTAGTTCAGTATATAATTTACATGCATTGATATACAGGTAAGGAATTGATTTAACTTCACACATTTTTGAGAAAATTGAGGCCCATAGGGCCTTGACCCTGATGGTAAGGTGTCGCTTACACCACCCCAAGGTACTTAATAATCCCCGCGATGAACTCTCTTATCGAAGTGACAAGACTGCAGTATATACCGTATTATAATCCTAACTAAAAAGTGTAAAATAAAAAAGGTAAATTTAAAACATCGAAAAACCTGACTGCTTAAATATTACTTCAAATAAAAACTGACAAGAAAAAACAAGTCCAGTAGTCTATAATTCTGTTAAGTAAGGAACATAGCTATATTAACAGTCGTAACCCAGTAGTTAAATATCTACTGGATACTACTAATGAATATTTTTTTTCAATAATGGATCCCGACTGTTATAATTGCTTTGTTTCTTGCTTAACAGAATTATAGACTACTGGACTTGTTTTTTTCTTTTCAGTTTTTATTTGAAGTAATATTAAAGCAGTCAGGCTTTTTGATTTTTTAAATTTACCTTTTTTTATAGCCCTTCGTTTGAAGTACGTGCCGTACATCTTTGGAGCTCTCTCCCATTTACCATACGACGTGCGGAATCCATTCACGCTTTTAAAAACCTTGTTAAGTCCTATTATCTGTCCTTAGAAAACTTTCGATTTTAATCTCCTTTGTGATTACTACCTACTGAACTAGATTTGTATATTGTTGTGTATGTATGTATCTATTTATATAAGAGTATATATATATATATTGTATATTTTTAGTTATATGTATGATTATATTATTACCTATATCACTCAAGTGATTTACGCCGCCTTCTCTCCAACTTCCTTCTAGTCCTCTCCATCCAAAGGTTGCCTGGAAGAGATCGCCCATTGATACACTAGTTTTAATTGGTTTTGTACTAAATGTAATGTTTTCTGTGGTGTACAATAAAATGTTTTGTACTGTATTGTATTATGTACCGCTCCAAATTCAAACGGTAATCTCGAATTTCATTTGTATGATATTAAAGTGAAAGTTGATTTGATGATATTAATCAATGACTTTCTATGTTAATGACCTCATGAAACAAGCACCTCATCCACGGTTTTCCCGCCCTAGTGGTAGCTCATCGTCAGAATTGTGCGAGAATACGATATGTCTCCATCACATTACCATACATTCCCGAACCGACACTGAATGGATACCTATTTTGCAGTGATGCGTGACTATGGAAATTCCTCTTTTTCCCTCCCTCTCACACTTCTCTTTTACTACATTATATCACACGCTTGAGATATCGTAGTCATGATGATTCATTTATTATTCAATAAGGCGTTATTTTACGTCTATTTTTTTCCCGTAAATTCAGTTTCTTGAATGTATGGTGGTGTATTATGTTCTGAATATGTGAAGCAAATAAAAACGGTCGAGCCTTACAGTAGTCGCGTATGATGTGTAACATTTGAAATCTCACCATATACAATACAATACAATATAATATAATACAAAAGTAAAGCAAGAGGAAAGATGTTACACATCAAAAAGTTGTCTGTTGAACGAAAGCGTTCAGTGAAATGTCATTATAAAACTGTGATAAGTTAAATAATTAAGTTCTTTTGAGACAGGATTTAAGAACTTTAATTTAAACTAACATACAGAATCTCATTAGACAATCCGCACTTATGTAATAAGAGCACTTTCATATTCACAAAAAGTGATATTAGATTGACAACTTAAAACGTACGCTAATTGTTTTAATTGGTTTTGTACTAAATGTAATGTTTTCTGTGGTGTACAATAAAATGTTTTTTATTTTAACTTTTAATTATTCTCCCTAAAGTCCTATAAAGCCCAGTGTCTTTACTGCTGGAGCACAAGCCTTTCCAATGGATAGAACAGAGGCCACGAGCCGTGGCCATACACGCGGACCCATTAAGATTTGTGTTTTTGGGTGCTACCGAGATAATCAATTCATTATCAAGCACCTTATATATTTCTCTACCGATTTCAGCTTATACAATATTTTGTCTCCTAATTAATTTTAGATGTTGAGCGTTAAAGACATCCCTATGAACCGGTAGGTAGCTGACACGGAATAGCTTCGTATCGCACCAGTCATTCTCACCAAGATGGCCTCAATCCTAAGCCCCCTCCGCGGGGACGTAGAGCTCGATGGTTTCAGGGCTCCTTTGAATGTAACAGGTATCGCAAGCGCCTAAAGGTTATGGCGTCCGTTTACGATCAAGTGGGTCCTACGCTCCTATTATCATCAGCCTATTAATTTCCCCACTGCAGGGGCACAGGATGCCCTACCCTGTGGATGGAATAGGGAGACTGGGCCGTGATCCACCAGAGAGGATTGGTAGACGCTAACCACTGCAGATGCAGCCGGGATCAACGACTTAACGTAGAATTACGGAGAAGCTCGAGATTGGTCACCCATCGCATGACCGGCTAGTGCGAAAGTGGCTTTACTTTCACTTAAACTTGCGCCATCGAGATCTTAGCCTGCTATTATGCCACCGCTTATGTATTAAACAAGTTTAGTAAATCAGGGGGGCGGGGGATTATACTTCGCTCACAAAATCGAGATTACCAGCCTCCCATAAAACCGATCTTTTCATCATATTGATGGATGGAAACTCGAGAGTAATTTTGATTGATATTCAATACAGCAACGTGCCCTGCCGCTCCCAATACCTTAGATATACTTTTTTCATGTAAGTACTTTGTACTACATCATATTAGTGGTTTAGCAAATTGTCAAACTTAGTAGCGATTTTGGCACAAGTTATTTCATTATTGTTTTGAATGAGTACAGTCTTAAGCGAATTTATATAATAACAGAGCTTGGTATTTATTCATAATTACATACCATTTACTGAGTACCATAGCGCATTAGACTATCTGTGGTACCTATTAGTCAAATAATATACTTGCCAATCTTGGCATAGGTATACTAGAAGATTATACGTAGGTTGATCGTAATATTAGTCAACGGTTTGGTAATTATTGCCATTAATAATTTACTATTATGAACAGGCTACATACAAAGTAACAAGCGATAGCGATTTTATGTATCAAAGAATCATCGGTGCGTTTCTTGCTTTGTTTTAAAAAAATCAATCATTAAAACTAGCTACGCAACGTTGCTTCTTTGATAATTAAAATTTCGTCAACGTTTTTTTGCTTGCTTTTTATTGTTTATTGAATTCCTTGTTACACATAATAGTACCACATAGTAATTGTTTAAAATACTTAAAGTATTAAAAAATTACGAAAAAAAAAGCTATTGACTACCTTGAGCTAGCTTCTCACATAAACAATGTGTTAAATAAGCTAATAACACAATACTATTCTTGGTTTAGTTTAGTGATATTCAAAGAGTTCCATTTGGCGTTTACGAATTTGTGTTCTTCGCCAAACGCAAAATAGAGCTCTTTGGCTGTATATGAATACTTCACAGATGCCCAAGATAGACCGATTGATGCAATGCTGTAGTTACCAGATTCAACGAAGGGAAGATATTTATATGGAATATTGACGAGTTAAGTAAAAAAGGTTTTTGTGTTGCAATCCCGGTAGAACACAGCAAAAGCTTTTTATCATTACAAAACGCTGCCTCGGAGGCAAAACTCTGAAGTCCACTCAGTTCGGAATTCGGACAGAAAGTAGTAAAATAAAGGCATTACCTATACCTACAAACTATTAAAATAAGAAAATGCAATACAAACAACCAAGTTTTTATTGAACTTAACTTTTGGAATGGTTGTGACTTTCTTTATGTATCGTCCATTATTTGAAGCGAGGAAACTTTTTTAACCACCTCAATTCGTTTTCATTTCTGGTAGCTTTGTTTTTTTTTTTCTTACAACTGGGAACATCGCCTCTATGGTGGATGCTTATTTTGATGCATGGTTTATCTGAAGTGTGAAATTTTCATATATTGCAGCACTGCCCAAGAGACTATTAAGTCGCATCATTGCGATATTTACATTAAGAACATATACTAAAATATTTTTCGATGAAAAAGTTCAACCAAAACGGATGGAACTAGCTCTTTACCATTTAATTACATTTACAAGCGGCGCAGCGTTGATGCTCTTACCAACCCTCTGATGTCGTGAAGTCAAATGTAATTAAAACATGTAAATTTAATTTGATCCTGCCCAATCTAAATACCACACCACATTCGCCATTTCGTGTTGTTTATAATCCGTCCTTTAATTTACACGGGTTTTTATAGTCTACGAAATCACAGCACCACCCGCTGTCGCGCATATTCTGGCAGCTATCCCTAAGGTTAATGCTAAGGGTGATCATAAACTCTACGACGAACACTCTACAGTATAATAATAAGGAGACCCTTTAATAAAGCGCAGTACGTCATTGTAATTAGTAAGGCGTGGATGCTATACCCAATAATGTAGTAAGTATAATGTTATTACAGCTTTATCGATAACGGAAAATAGTTACCTGCAACATAATCCCCTACGCGAAGCAGCAATTAATACAATAAGGAGGTCACTTTTATATTAATGTGCCCACGATACTAAGGGAAGTCGGGGAAAATTGACGGGTTTCGAGATTCAAACATCCGAGCTAATAGTTTTGTTACTGTTATAAATTTGTATGTGAAAAACTTGTGTTATTATTTATTTATTTTAAAAAAAGTTTCGACCTCTAAGTGCTTACAATACAGTACAATATAAGGACAATATTGAGGCCAATAGGGGTGATGACGGGGTAAAGTAAACGAAATTCTATTTAGTCCGTCAGTTAGACGATTAAAAAATAATGGACACGTATTTTTCTTTGGGCAATCAACCAAAAAATGACAAAGTTATAGCGCGTCAAAGTTTGGGAGTAGGGGCTCGTGACGTCACTTTTGAGTGAATTTTCACTTATAAGTGTATTCAAACGTGACGTCATGCGACTTTTCAAATCAATATATCTCTGCATTGTTTATATTATGTGAAAAAAGAAAAAATACGTGTCCAATACTTTTTGATAATATACCTGATAAACGAAGAAAAAAAATAGTCATCATCCCTATTATAAAAAACATACCTACTTTTTACACAACAGATGCTGTCGGCATCATTTCGTAGTAATATGGTAATTATAAAACTGTAAACATGAAAAACCTAAAATAACAAAAAAGAAGTGATCTAACATAAAATATATATATGAAAACCTTAAAATATAGCAATCACAGTAAATTAATCCGGGGCGTGCAAACTATACAGTAAAAAAAAATTATAGTACGGTAGTAATGCGGTTGACTGTTTTAGTTTTTAAATTTCTCTTTCTCTCTCACTCTCTTTTCTTCATAATCTCTTACTAAATTAATTACTGTATTGTTTACCATATTTCTATCCTTATCTTAGTAGTTCTTACAGTTCATTTCCTTTACCTTTTTCCAAATGTTATTCTTTCTTTTCTTTCTCTTCCGCTATGCTTCTCTACCCCTCGTAAGGGAGTGGAACGTTACATAATATTGTTATTATTAACATGTTTAAAAAGGTCTGGACGAACAATATTAAATAACGTTGACGTTTTATCCAGACCTTAGATGATTGTTATGAAAATATCCAACATTTCCGGTAAAGGGACATAATGAATATTTGCTGCTTTCGTTAATACTCTTTTGTCTATGCGGTATTGTAAATCAAAATTATTAAGGTTAACGGTTAATTCCACTTAACCATAATAAGCCAAACCTAGCCATTATTTTGCAGTAGTAGTATATTCTTTTATATAAGCACCTGTTTGTAAACAAATAGACTAGGAAAGATCCAATCCATCAATAGCGTGAGTGGGTATTAAATAAACAGTAATTTTCGCAATTACAATTAAAAAGTATGAATTCT